ATATTATCACCAAGAAATCTAGCTCGTTCAATCTCTTGGAAAAATGAAGAAACAAGAAATCATAGAGCGGTCACATAAGTTAAATAAACGCTCTCATTCGTATAAGCTGCACACGCATAAAGTGGCTAAAATACTAGCTGCGTATCTATACTTCTCGCGACCATCTCGATAAGGCTACAATTTCGAGCCATTCTATTTCAGCAACTTTTATTTCTTGCGTTCTTACTGTTCTATAACCAGAGTTTATCCAATCTCTTGAAACAACTTCATTCGAGTCCCTTACTTTATTAATTATACAACACGTTAAAGCTATTAAAAAGTTCATTAAACCGTATTTTTATTTTTACCAAATCTTCATAATATTTTATTATATCTGGTATCTATAATGTCACATATTTATAATTAGGTAAGTTAAAAAATTCCAAATAATATCAACATGTTAATCTTCACCGATGACTTTAATGTCCCTGTAACTCGGATCACCCGAAAGCCGAGCCGATAACAAAGGGAGTATCCACCCTTTTCATGTTTCTCTGAACCATGATTCATAAAAACTTAACCCAAAACAAGAAGACAAAAAAAAGAATCGTTATTCGCGGTAGGTCGAACACCGTGGAGTAACGAAAGCACACAGTTGAAAACATCGATTTTCCATTCAGAGACTATCCTCATGGGAAATTCACACGTGTCCCAAAGACGTTCGAGTCTTCTTTTTCATGGCGGGGACGAGATTTTTTGAGGTACCATTCAGTGTCGTGAGACGTGCAAGGTCCAGCATGTATTTATGTGACACCATGGCCGATAAGGGTAACAGCCAATTAAACTTGAAAGCAGGCCGAGATTCGAGAAACAACCCCCTGCTGCCGTTTGACGCGGCTTCAATTACAGGATCCTCGTGAACGACCATCACTTTCACGCTAGCTGCCTTTTGTCTCCCTTTCACCACGCCCCTGAGATCTTCGAGACAGGAGATGATCCTTCGGGATCCTCTTTTGGAGGAATACAACGGATCGTATCTGAGATTTCGGATTCCTTCCCATACCAAAGATAAAAGTTTGCATATTAAATTATGCAACTCGATATCTAAACGTACCTAAAGTAATTTTAGAACTGTTCATGAAGGACGTACTCTTTTAGACTTTTCATAAAAACCATTCTACCTCGAAATTTTCTTCGAAAACATTCTATCTATAATTTTATTGTTCATAATTTGATTGATAAAAATTTCATTTTACTCTCGATATTACATAATTGTTTTATAATTTTTTTAAACAAAAAAATATTTATTTTTGCGTAAAACTGTATTTCTTTTAAAAATTCAAAGAGAAATTCGTATCGAAGGGTTAATGAGTTAAAATCAGAAAAATAAATTAAAGGAAAAGGTAGTGAGAATGTAACTGAATGTGAGAAGAAGGAAAGAAGTCTAGAAATGGGAAAAATCTATGAACGCCCTTTACGGACGACCTCCTACTGGTTGCTAATGTGTTGACTACATGTGAAGTTAAAGCGTAGGTAAGTACCTGTATCAAGCTTTACATGTTTTTATCTTACTAGTGCTAGTTCGATGGCAAGGCGTTTCTTAGTCGCCAGCTCGACGTGTTTCACGACGGATGAAGAGGTTTCCACAAAGGACGATGGAAAGCCAGAAGAAACGCGTCCGCTTCAGCACGGACGAACGCGAAAGGAAGGAAGAGCTTTATCGCGTCGGACCGATATTTATTCTACGCATTTCGTTTTATTGATCCGAGATCATTGGCTGCGAGTTCTTCCCGGTGTTCAAGAGCGCCATAATATCATGCTTTCCCTATCTTCCTCTTTGCTCACCCCTTTTTCCGCGTTAATTTATACCCGTCTGTTCGCTCCCGCGATAAGTGAAAGCCTCCTTCTCGAATCACGTCTCGTCACCGATCTATCGATCGCGTGGGTTGGATCATCCGGTTCCTTGTGATCGTGAGAGCTCGTTTGTTCAACATTTTCATCAGAGAACACAGCAGTCTTGTATAACGCGATAGTGGGTGTCATCAAATCTAGGGAGGGCATATTTTTCTTTTGCACAAGCAATATTATTTATCACTTGAGAGCCTCAATACAAAAAAGAGAATTAGTAGTTGATTTGTTAACAAAATAATTGGACTGTTTGCTTTATAATTCAAATTAATAATTCTGATTAAAGAGAAACAAATAATTTAATTGAAGTAAGTGGCAAAGTATAAAGTTGATTCGATGAATTAATTATTGTATATCTCAAATGTACAAATTAATTCTGAGCTTTCTTTTTTTTAATTGTAGATTTGTTTCTAACGTCATGGCAACTTCAATTATTATATTTTCGCGCCACTTTTCAAGTACACAAAAGCGCAAGAAGATATTCAAATTTAAAATAGTAATTACAAAAGTGGAGTAGTAAAGGCACTGAATTAATCTGTATGTATGTACACCTAATGTTAATGATACTTCACACATAACATAAATATACAATACTAGAAATACAGTTTCTAACAAAGGCGGTTATAGCGTAAGGGTTAATTATTCTACAAATGCAACTCGTGTTAGATATTACAAGAGAAAAAGTTAACAAGCATACTATTACAATTGACGAAAATTTACCAAGTTAAGTAATTTAACCATTCAATTCAAAATAATTGAAAATATGTCTGATCTTAGTCTGCTGTCTACTGGCAAACGACGCAATTTTCGGGTTTCTTTCGCGGCTTCTCAACGAGCGACCCTCGGAAAAATCTCAGATTCCTCGGTTACAAATTAAGTATTTAAGATAATTAGCCGAGCGTGGCTCGTTTCGTCCGTGAAAGGAGCGAAAGATCTTATCGTGTTCCGGTCGATTCTGCTGGACCTCTTCGCTCCGAGCTTCTGGCCCCTTGATTTACGTGGACCAGCGACGAAACACGCACCGCCCCGTCATTATTTTTATCTTCGGTCACGATTAAACAATTGTTGGCCCACGGCATCGCCACCTTAGCGAGAACCTACCCTCCTACCACCATTTTCACGACACGTTACAGTGATAATTATTACGTTTAACATTTTATGATCAGTAAATCACGTTAACTCTTAATCTATTTATTTCTGTAATTGCAACAATGACAATAAAAAACTCGGAAGATAATCATTTTTTTCATGCACTTTAAGTGGAACAGAATTGACATGGGATATAGGAGAATTAAGTCTAATAATGATTTTAAATAGGGTAGCTTAATGTTCTATTCTACTTTCTCATGTACTAATAAATAGTTAACTTTGTGTTAATGTTCAAACTTGTTTTTCTAAATGTTATGTAAGGGACTAGTTTATAATAATTGCAACATTAAAATTTGCTGTAATACGCCACTAAAACAAATTTTACTACATTTAAAAATGATTTTCTTAATCAACTTATTGAAGTAAAATAGAAAAAAGTGCATTGTATTATTAAATAGAAATGATGATGTCATCAAATAGTGATACCAAAAGAAGTTTGAGATTTTATTTTAAAAGATACTGATTGTGAGTTAAAAATTAAAAATTAAGAATCTACTTCTGCTACAAAATAAGAGCAACTTAAGCAAAAAGATATGTATGTAATAAAAAAATCTCATAACTTTCAAAGTACATATTAACACAGATGTCTAATAGCGAATTTGTGATGGTGATTAAAATATTGCAAAGTAATGTTTAAATTTCTGAATTAGTATTATTAGGGTTATTATAAGATTTATTTTGTAGAATATTTAATAGAATAATAATGCTAATTATGTTTTGTTGGCACGAAATCCCTATAGGCCATATATTGCTATGAAATAACGTCCACGTTATTTTTTCTTAATTATTATTTCTATTATAATGTTAGTTTATAAGTTAATTTCTCATATTATTGTACTCGTTTATATAATCATTAATATTAAGCTTAGTATAGCGTAACTCTGTCATATTTGTAACAGACATAAAAAGTGAAAACATTAGTAATTAATAACTTATTAATTCGTTTACGAGTTTTACATTAACGATAAGTATAACTCGTAACATCGTAAAATATTTTACATTTATACCATTTTCTGGCATTTATGAATATTATACATAATTTGAAGTATTATATCTATTGTAAATTTTTCAATCGTACGTAATATTTTTGAACAAAGGAAGTTTACCTTCTTTTCTTATCTAAAAGAATGTGAAATTAAATAGCAGGTTAAGTAATTATCATTAAATGTACAGAATATCAATTGTAGACGATCTTGCGCAATAAAATCCCGTCCAATTTTAATCTCACAGATATAATTAAATTCACTGAGCACTTGCTATAAAGTACTACATATAACAAGATCTCAGTTACGATCAACTCCATAAAATATGAACTGCAAAACATCCATACGGACAATAAAATTTTATGGTAAACTTCGATTAAAATCAAATTGTAAATATGTATAATGTCGTATGTTGCATAAATTTTAATTCTAATTAGATTCAATACGATTAAATCGGAATCGTGTAATAAAACTTCGAGCCTGGTTAATTTCGACTAAATTACAATTGAAATTTCATTTATTGAATATTATATCCGACGAATACAACGATAGTATTATGAGCTGAATACTTGGAATAATATTTGAAATTGAAGAATTACTCGTAGTAATTTCATTAATTAATGCAAGATCAGATTTCGTAACTTCAAACTATATTGTACCTTTTATAAATGAATTTAATCAACGCTACTCATTAACGGGTTAAATGCCGGATTAATTTTACAATAATAATAAAATCTATAGTTTGTGAGATGTTTCAAATTTAAAAGTGAAATATATTACATAAAAAGACTTGAAATGTTCCAGATACCGCAGGTACTTTAATACTATTTCGTGCATAATATTCTAAGAAATCAATCTATGTAAAAGGAAAAAAAGAATTTCCGTAAAATTTCAAAGGCACTTCCGTCTAGGCAAGACTTCAGATAATATAAATTTAATTTGAAATAAATATTTAAATAAAAATAACATCCTACATAATTCAGCCCACTATTTGATGTTATCTTGGTTGCAAAGTCCATAAAATATAAACATTGGAATCGGAACTTCGGGATATTGAATCGGCAATCCTTGACTTAATTTACTCAACAACTGAGCAAAGTTGAAAAAAGCAAATAGAGTTAGCCACACGTTTCCTGCAGAAATATGCTTCGATGTATCATTAACCAACACACTGTAGATATAATGTAACCTGGCGGTACAGCTATCGGCTAGTACTGTATTTAGCGGCTATAAATTAAGGTACAAATTAATATTTATGCAGCCATAACACGGTAGCAGTAACACGAACGGGACGTGCTTCTCTTAACTGCTTTGCTTTTATCATCGGCATTTTCTTCGATCCTTCTTCTACCCGACAGTTTTCTCTCGTTCAGTAGATAGATCGATGAAAATTAGTATCCTCCTCAGGTATTTCACGTATATCGATTAGGCCTGTTGCTGCATTGAAAAACGAGGAAACGTTTGAGAAAATGTAGTTAATGTGTTAACTGTCAGCGAACAAATAGATAGCACAAGTAGTTAAAAATGTTTTACGTGTATCATTAGAGTCTGATTCCATTTTCATTACAGTTTAATTGGAAATTTTTGTAATTTTAACATCTTGACCGCTAACAGGAAGATTTTATTCCAGTTAGATTATATCCTTTAATTAAAAGTTTATATGGTTCTATGTAATACTTGATCTCTTAAGGAAATTGCATACATTAATTAGCAGTTGCGACGGCTATAATAAAGGAAACAACAGTGCTTTCGTAATGTATTGGTTAATATAGTGACATATAATTATAGTGCTTATCTATCATAGGTCAGTGCTTAAACATTCCAATTATTAATAGACCAATGCTTAATTGTATAGTTAACTTGACATTTAATTTAGGATTCTTTTAGAATATTTATAATGGTGCTACATATATGTTATATTGAATAACATATACTGAAATAAATTAAAAATAGAATTTTTTAATTATTTTAAATAGTATACACTTATGAATCGTTGAAACATATATAAAGTTTTCAATTAAACTACATCTAATACATATTATAGTAATCAATAGATGAATATTTTAATTTAATAATCTAATTAATACTTTTAAATAATTATTATTCTAAACTTTATTTATTTTTGAAGAATTAAGTGTCTTATTTTACAATATAAACTTTAGTAGCACTTATAGATACTTGGTGAAAATAGTAATATTTCAAGGATTCTTTAAAAAACTACAAAAAGGAACTTTATGCAATTAGTTCAAGAGTTTTTCTGAAATTCTATCAAAGGACTATGCTCTTTTCACGCTATTGTATAATAGGAAAGTGTGTCAATGACGAATTGATGCTTGATGTGTTTATTTATCTAACAAACTGACTCGTGCTACTTCATTAAAACATTTCTGAGCCATTCTCTTGTTGTTTTACCTTTTTTTAACTTGGTTTAGGCAGCCTGTAGGTTTAAACTAGAGATGTGCGAGTACTGGTAATTTACAAGCCGAGCTGAACTCGCTTCGATTGTTCGAGCTTGAATTTGCCGAATTACTCGAAATCGACGAACTGTTTGAAAGAAAAGCGAGCTACTCGAAAAAATCGAACTACTCAAATATCTACTGATAATTCATCTTCAAGTAAATCGAAGTTTTACGACGGCTCGTAAGCTTTTTTATTTTTAACTCTTTCTTAATGAAACTTTTACTAACGCATTTGTGAGATTTTTCTGATTAAAATGAGACCAAACACAATCTAGTTTGAATTATATTCACACAAAGTACAAACACACGGTGCTCTCATTAAAATAACAATAAAAGGATAATGTAAAAGATCAATTAAGGTTGCAGCACATAGAATCGACACCTAGGCTGGTTATATGCAATGTGTTCCTAACATAGGATCGACACCTAGGCTGGTTATATGCAATGTGTCACTAACATAGAATCGACACCTAGGCTGGATATATGCCGAGTTTTTACTATACGAGACAAGGTCCTTATTACTATCTATTAAGAATCTATCCGAGGGATTAACTCTATGGTAGACTTAAACATTTTCAATACAAAATGGTTGGTGTATCATTATTTTTTTCCTTTGTTCGTCATTTCATGTCAAGAATATTAGTGAAATTTTAATATATTTAGTTGGTTTCATTAAATCTTTAGCTTTAAAACAATATGGCATGAGTGCCATTTTGCAATGTTATGAAATCATATCAGATTCTCTGCCATTTGATAAGCAAGAACGTAACATGTATGTAGAATTCTATTGTTTGCTAAAATTTGTAATCATCTATTTTGTATTAAGAATATCGATGAAACATTTACATAATTATTTTCATTAAGCGTAAGCTTGAAATCAACATGCTATAACAACACGGTGATTTGCGGTACTTTTATGTCATCAAATTATGATAAACTGTCTAAGTTTCAAAATCTGCCATTTGATATGCAATAACCCAGAAGCCTCTCACCAGTTTGCGGTATTCCAATTATTATCTAAATCTGATTTAATTCCAAATTCCTGGAAATCGTTCTAATTACAGTATCGCCCCGATTTCATCTTATCGCCCATGTGGTCATCGTTTCAACTGAAGTCATCAAAACTCTCGTTTGCTTTCATCGACATTAACCAGTTATCATCTAGCGTGTTAATGGACAATCATTAGATAAGGCTTGGCTTGGCTTCTAAACAAGCGATCGTTGCAAGTGCATTAATATAGCGAAGTGAACCAGAGAAGCCGGCAGGATTCTCTGGAAAGGATGCTAATGCATCCCGGTGAAATTGTTGCTCCCATGGTGGATGTGTGGATTCCTGCGTGATTCCGGGCTCGGAATGTCCGAGACACGCGAACAACCATGCAAAAAACACCTTGGATAACGATGAAAAACGCGCACCGGTTCGTTCGCGGTAAACATCCCGCGGTTTATCCGCCACGTTAATTCCGGCTCGATTCAGCGAACTGAATTGAACTGTCCGTGGATCGAGACAACTCCGGTTTTCCATCGACTGTACGAGTTACTTTTTAACGATACATCAAGTTCGCTGTTTCCTTCGGTTCTGGATACATCATAGCGGAAGCTCATGGTTTTCAACCGACCCGATAAAAATCGTCTTTGCGCGAAACAGGTGATATAGTCGACAGGTGTTGCCGGCGTGTCATGTTAGCGAGACTGATGGAACGCGGACCATGATTAAACACGCGATCGTTCTTTTTTATATTGACGCATGTAAACTTCAATGTAAAAAGTCGCAAATGAGTGATAATGTCGGATAGCAGGAAGCTTCTGATTTTCTGATCATTTTGTAGAAAAACTGGAAGAGATGTCTTGATCGTTTCAATTTAAAAGATATAGAGGGATGTTTCAAGATTTTTCAGGTTTTTCTTGGTTTTGATGGAAGTAAATTGATAAGAAAAAAGTTGAACATAATTTGTTGTTACAGCGCAGCGTGAAAATGCTGCAGTGAAGATAGAGATGTATGGGATAAGTTTCCGAATGGCCCCACCAAAATTGAAAACTCGTTCGGTATATAACCTAAATTGACTACCAGAAACAGATTAAAATTGGTTTCAGAGCTGGATGTCTTACCGTTTTTGAGATATCGTGGTAAGAAATTTTTGCACAATTTTGGGATACTGAGCATGCGCTATTCAATACTGCGCATGCGCTATTCGATACTGGGCATATGTTATTCGATACTGCGCATACACAGAACCTAACCTTACCACGATATCTCGAAAACGGTAAGACATCCGGCTCTGAAACCAAGTTTAATCGGTTTCTTGTAGTCAATGTAGGTTATATACCGAACCTGAGTTCTCAATTTTGGTGGGGCAATTCGGAAACACAGCCGACGTATGTATAAAAGACATTAAAATTTTAATTATTCGAATTATGAATAATTAATTCTGAACTTCTCCCAATGTATAATAGTAATGCTATTTAATCCTTGGGACACAGTTGAGCACTACCTATGATTCAGAATAATTTCTGATTTTTTATAACATAAAATCAATTTTACAGAAAATTTAGAACTTTCTCCACTTTTCACTTCAAGGTGCAAGGGAATTTGTATGCGATAATAAATAGAAATGATAACTATTCAACCTATGTATATATCTGTCCACAATACTCCAAACAATAACTGATAATCAATCATTCGAGTAACCGGTATTCGAATAATCGATGTTCGAGTGTGCATAATAATTTGATACCCAAAAGCCAGAGTACAGCCAGTACTTTGCTTGCTGCCCGTGGCCTACATCTCCACGACCATGAAATCTCGTCCCGGTTCCAGCCGTCCCAAAGCCTGGAGGCTTCTTCAAGGGAGAGATTCGAGGTATCGCGTGGCGTTATCGCGCGTCACCATTATCGGGTAATTGAACGGGCGAACCTGCAGGGCGTACCAACGTAACGATGACCCTGCACGTGCAAAGTGCAACTTGCAAACCTGCTTTTACACGAAAAAAAGACCAGCCGTCTTAACGGTCGCGGCGCGCCGCGGCGAGAGGATAAAAAAAGGGAAAGTAACCTTTCCACTTTTGCGAGAGGTAGATTGAAAGAAAAGAGGAAGGTTATTTCTTCGCTACCAGCGCGAAAGAATGCGGCGGATGCTTGGTAACAGGCGTACGTTTACGCTTCGCTTTTGAGAGACGCGTCATCAAAAGACACCGATGTTAGGCGTACGTCTCTCTAAATCGGGATCCTCTGGATCGCGCGTCGCCAGAGTTCGTTTAACTTTCGAACTGACCCCGATTTAAACCAGAAAAAGATGCGGACGAGATTCACGACGACGGAAGCCGGAGAACCCGACATCGTCGTGACTTCCTCACGGCACGAGGAAAAAGGGTCTCGGTCGTCTACGACTCGCTGCGAAAATAGGAACAGTCGTGTTACGTCTCTTGAAAATAGACCGATGGAAGCGTGATGGGACGTGTTATGGGGTGATCCCGGAAAGCAAATGCTTTTTCTTTTGCTTCCATTCTTCGCGCTGGCAAATTGGACTTCAATTAGGCTGGCTTTTATAGTCTTTTCTCAAGAATCACGTGTATATCTTTTTGACCGCTCTGGACGCACATGTGCCTGTGTCCGCTCGAAGCTATTAGTCCTATATGCGTTTGGCAATTGCATTTCTTAGTAATTACACGCCAAATGTTATCAGATCAGAATCAAATGGTAAAACGATAAAAAAAGAAAGAGAAATGAAATGATAAAGCAGCAGTCAAAGAAATACTGACTGATATTTCTGTTTGTAATATGTTTAAATCCAATACATTTGAAACTCCGAAAAAAAGAGAAAGGAAAAAAAGGGAAATCTACTAAATAGGAAAAAAAAATTCAGAAAATGCCCAGACCACCTAGTGAAAAGTGACTTTCCGTAGCAGCGACTGAACAAGCAGCATGAATTTGAGTTAATTGAGTACGCAATCACTGATAAATATACACGAATGGTGAGGA